AGCACACTACGTCGATTTTGCAATTGTTATGCCATTGGCCTCTCCATTTTTAATTGGTCAAAAAGTAATCGAAAATAGAAGAAACCCACCATGCCTCTTGGTGTTGGGGCAGAGCAAAAAATTATGAGTAGTGAGAAAGCCAAAAACTTTTTTCAGGGCGTAAGGTCAAACCAAAATTCTAAATTGAAGTTTCAATAGAATTACTAACCAAAATGCTAAATTAAAGTTTCAATAGAATTGCATTTTCTTAAACTTTGTCTTTTATTTTTACTTTTGCTCTTATATCATTTCAAATTTAGACACTCAAAAGTATAAGTTTATATATTAGTATTGTCGATTTTTAATAATTCAGAATTTTAAGTTTGAAATATGAATATAATTAAGGATTACTTTTATAAATACCTCTTAAATTTTGTATCTTATTTCAATATGTCCCTAAATTTTAAAAAGGGTTCGGTGAAGTATGTACCTCAGTTCAAATACCTCTTATATTTATATAACTAACAAAATGATGACATGATATTAATTATATTCTTATAAATGCGCACCAAACTATTAATGTTAAGTAAATTTACGCATTAAATTATTACTTTTTGTCAACAATTACCCCTAATTTTTTAAAAGACCAAGGACAGACTAACTAAAAATCAATAGTTCAGGGTATTTATGGATAATCATTAGTTTAAGGGTGCTTTGAAATTAATCCTATAACAAAAAGTCGAAACTTTAGGGTGCTTTAAGGGTTCTTATATTGTTTTACCTTGATATTGCAATTTAAAAAATTTGAGTACGCAATAAGTATAAAAAGAAAAAAAGAAAAAAAAAAAAAGTGTGTGTGTATATATTTGTGGGGGCAGGAGTAGGAGCCGTTGGGTCTCCCGGGGCTCAATGCAGCTTTGCTTCTAAGAGGACGTTTGGTTGTAAAATTTAAACCATGTGATTTGAATTATTTTTAATTTACGTGAATTTTTTATGAGAAAAAATACTGTAACAAATTATGAATCATGATTCAAATCAAGGAACGAATTCCTCTATTTATCGGACCCTAAACATGGGTGAGACCAACCCATGCATGTCTTACTGAGAAGATTCGCAAAAATCAAACCCTTGCGACCTGCGATGGGTAAGGGAGATATATATACGTACCTGGGTTACGCAGAACCGAAGGAGATCCACAAGGGTACCCTCATAAGGTTTCACTGAGGAGGACTGTTGTGGATCTGGGAGGATACGCGGAGGAGATCCATAGTGGATTATATAACTCTCGATCGAGATGTTTATTAGTTTCTTTTAAAAAATAACCAAAAATAATGATTCCAAATTCATCCCAACAGTATTGTTACGTGTTTTATTTCCGTCTTCTTACTTTTAACGGATTACAAATGGAGAAGCTAATGGCCCTTTTGCCTTTGTACCGATGTCAACTAGAGACAAAAGTTAGAGTTAATACCGTGATTTTGATAGTTTGACTCGTCTATTCTAATTGACCAAACTCATACTTATCCTCTTTAACCCTTCTAAGAAGGAAAAGATTGTCAGTTATGAATGGTCTTATCGACATATTTTATTAATTTATTCACTACAATTAATTTATTATTTTCCATAGACAAACATAATTTGGTCGAAACTCAACCGACCACAATAATATATGGCAATTTTTAGGCATTTCCCGAAATCGGTACAAATAATTAAAGTCCACGTTAGGTGAAAATGTTGAAACTATGCTGACACATTTGAACAAGAATCAGATAGCTGGCATTTTGTTATACACAATTAAATCTCAACTGGCAATTTTTACATCGCAAAACACAAGCAATCTCCTTTCTCTTTCTTTCTCAGAGTGTGGTGGACAAACCACCATTTTGCTCTTAACCCAACAATTGTCTCTCATATTAAATTGGTAAAATGTGCAGAATATGTTGACAAAGCCTCTTATTATGCCTCTGATGAAAGTCAACAATTTAAATAGAACCAGAAAAAATACCCAAAAAAAGTCGTACCCAAATCTCACTTACCCATGACAATATGCATAATTTTATTTTTCCCAAAAGAAGTTACTTTTCCATTACCCTTTTAGGGAAAGGC